AAAATGAAATATATTGAAATGGCTACCATAGACCCATATGGTTAGATGGATAACATTAAAGGTACATTATAGAAGTGAAATATTTTCATTTGATTATAATTCTTAATTTAGATAAAGATTATTGTTTATTCAATTAATGTAACCCTGAAATATAAAATATAAACAGAGCTTTTATTTAGAACTGTGGACAATTGGATTCTAACCCATTAGCTTAAAGTTGATGGCTATGGCTAATAGACCTAGAATCCCTGGTTTCTTGAAGGTTTGTTTATGCAAACTACCTATATGAATTGTAAAATAGTAAAAACTAGATTTATGCTATTCCTTGTATTCTCAATGATTCTTCAGTTTAACCGAATTTATGATGACCAATCTTCACTATAAATAATTCATGATTTTATTAACTAATGACTTACATTTTGGATAAACATTCTTAATTCTTTTGATTTGTTCATTTGTTCTTGTACAAAGAATTTCAATTATTGTATCTTCATCAGTATCAGTTCCTCTCATTGCTCTATGAAGTTCTATTGCATCAAATTCTGCTGGTGTATAGCACAACGCAATCAGACAATCTTTTAAACATCCGGTTGATATAGAATTAAATATGGCGAATAAACTGTCCTTATACAGAGATTTATATTTTTGTAGAATTGCTATACGTTGAACAACAGATCGAAGACCCATTACATCAACAGTTTCTCTTTCTCTTATCTTTGATCTATCCATAGCATTCATTAAACGTTTACAGTCATGTTCAACACAGAAATCTTCTTTAGGTGTTAATGTTGGTTTCATCTAACATTAGAAGAATGGATATTTACAAGCAAGTAAGGAAGTTGTAGAATCAAACAATCTTTAAAACATCCAATTAATTTACAAATAAATTTGGTAGGTAAATTCTTTCCGTACATTGATCTATATTTTTGTAGAATTGCTATACGTTGAAGAACTTCTATAATTCTCCACTAAGTTACCGAAAATTTCCATATACGATTCCCCCAATGTTCGCAATCATGTTCAACAGTGAAACCCGGTTCAACAGTAAGAGTTGGTTTCAGCTAAGATCAAGGTGAATGGATATTGACAAATAAGTAAAATGTCAGTCAGCTATAACGTAGAATTGTTTAAATCAAATAATCTGAAATAGTCTTGATATATGTCAAATTATTACCCTTTACTTAAAATAATAGTCAACGTATTTAGATGAAGTGATTCCACAATAATGTAAACTCACTGTAAAACAGAAGCATGATAGTACAGTGACGTATTTCGGAAAGTAACTTGTGCATGCTAAAGGACTTTAAAATGCTTGAGGTTTTTAAATGACCCTTATATTTATGAACCATTATTCTAACTGAAAATTCATTCAATTCACTTTCCTTGTTCAGAATAATAATAATAATAATAATAATAATAATAATAATAATAATTTAATGGTTGAATTCATGAGTTGATTTAATTGAGGGTACCCCGGAAAACTTTCTAACACTGGACGGCCGTTTCATCCCAGTATGGCACATTTTAGCAGGACGAAAAGACCATGTAGTGCTTCTAAGTTTTCCAGGGTGGTCTAGCTTAAATTGACTGATGAATTCGACCATTAAATTACTACAATTCCCACGAACCCATTGGTTTAGCACAAGTATAATGTCATAGAAGTCGATATTGTGATTGGTAATTTTGTCACGTCATATTTGACGCATCATAGGACATGATAATAGGTTCAATTTCAATGAAATGCTTCAATGAAATCAATTAAAATGTGTTTCATAACCTCTATTAACCGAATCATCCACTACAGATATTATCTCATTCGTAAGATGGATTAATGGAAATTGTAGTAAAATGTAACAAAAATGATCAGTGATCTATTTGACATAAATGAAGGTATTAATATAATGTAAATAACTAAATTACTAACTGTAGGGAGTTAAATGAAGCATTCCAGTTTCAGAAATGAAAAATGATTTCCTCGATATAAATCTCAAATAACCTATCAATATGAGTAAACATATACATATATTTCAACATTTGATATCACTATACTGATATCACCCATAATCCGAACACCCATTACAAACACTGTTCAGTGGATTAATATTCATCAGATCAATACCTCTGTAAGTTCCTATCACTGTAAATTGTTAGTTAGGAATTATTTAGCAGCATGGTATGTTTGTACAGATATGCCTACTTTGAAGGATTCATTAAAATCGGAATGGGGATTTGTGGAGAATGCAGCAATTTAGGCAGTTGAATTCATAAGTTGATCTAAGCTAAACCAGCATTGCGAATCTGTAAGTACTGATAGGCCGTTTTATCTCAGTATGGGACACCTCAATAGTGCGCACCCACGATCCCGCGCACAGCACTAGAACCTAGGACCTTCGGCCTCGCATGCGAACGCTTCACCTCTAGATCACTGAGCCGACAGCCGACGGTGGTATTGTCTAACATCAATCGATCCATGATATTGTGCAGCTCTTCATCCGTTGTCTGAGGGAAATAATTGTCTCCATACTACAACGAAACGATCGTCCTGTGTTTCCAGGTTTTGAATAGCGGTCTAGCTTAGATCGTCTCATGAATCCAACTATTAAGATTTATTATAAGTTCACACTTACACTGAAATAACTATCGAAATCTACTGAGTCCCTCTAAATAATTATTTATTTAGAGATGAGATATTGTGAGTTCTTGTAGGATTTCATTTTGTCTTTTTCTGAAAAGCCTCACATAGTGAAATTTATATTTTCATCATTTCTTAACCACCGTATAGAATAAATAATTGACCGACTGAAAATAAGTTCCCATGAATCAGAATCTATGGAAATGTGGAGTTTGGAATTGATGTAAAAGAACACAACGGCCATTGGAAATACCAAAGTTAATAAGTCATAAACACAATAGTAATCAAAGTATTTCTAGACTGGATGGATATTCAGTATAGTGAATTTCAATTGCGAATCAAAAATGCATGAATAACTAATGAACAGAATAATAAACGAAAATGACTGGAAAAGTCATCCAGACGAAATCACTTATGCATATAACAACTTACTATATCTTCGTATGGAGCTGACTCACCATATCCAAATACTCTGGAAGTTCCAAAAAAGTCATTAAACTGACATGATGCAAGCAGAGGAACATTTGGAAAAACACTAGGTACACTCAAAGGTGTCTTATTAAAGTTTGTGTCTGATTGTCCGGAAAATTCACACAACGTGGTTTCAATTTTTCCATCCATATTATATTCAGCTTTATTTGAATTTATTAAGCTTCCTGTCTATAAACAAGCATGTTCTATTGGAGATTTACCTAGATAATTTGTATTAGATTGTTGAGTCTCATTTGAGCTATCCACCACAGAGAGATAAGAGAAATCTAAATCCATCAGTTAATCTGGTATACTTAGAGTGAGTGTGTTATGCACAAAAACTGTTAATAGATTGATTTTTGTTTCGTCTAGGTCACTAGTGTGATGAGTCAATTGGCTGAAATGAAAATGTAACAGTAAGAGGATTGGTCAAGTTAGTCGAAAGAAACAAACAACTGGCCTTCACAATGTCGACAGATTTTTATGGTATAAACAAAATACATTTTTCATCTGTTCCAGGTTATTTTGAAATTACCAGCCAGTATTATGATTATAGAAACATTTTTTAGAGGCTTTTAAGAAGTTCAAAAGTTTATTAGTTAATTTAATAACATTCTTCTCCGATGTCTCATCTTTAACACATGAATCAGTGTTCATCACTTCAATGTTTTATTATTATTATTATTATTATTATTATTATTATTATTATTATTATTATTATTATTATTATTATTATGAGTATACACTAGAATTCCTGGAGTTACATCTTAAATCTGATCACTAGTGAACACATGTTTATTATTAGCATAGAGGTCCTGAGATTGATTGTCACGTGAAGTGTCGTGGATATCCACTGCTGAGGATTCCTATACTGACACGAAATGTTCGTCCAGTACTTTCAGGTTTCCAATGATGATCTAGCTAAGATCAGTCCGTCACGTAAAATATGAAAATGCTACAACGTCGACAAATGCCCTATATTGAACATTCTTATACCTCTTTTTACAAATTCTAATAAGACAAGTGATTGCCGTAGTGTCGAGTCACCTAGACTGGTGGCCACATTGCAACATGATCGATAGCATTCGATCTGCACTAATAAGGACTAGACAAGCATGACATTGATCACCACCCAGTGATCAATCAATTGTGATTACATCTCACTCCTACAGGAGGTTAGTTATGACTCGCATAGCTCAGTGGTAACGTCTCTGACTGTGAAGCTGAGTGGCACGAGATCGAATCCGCCAGGGAGCACCAGTTCCCTCAAGATTACAGGTACACCTTGCTGACGAGTGCCAAGCAGCACGAAACCCGGGTCCAGGGTTTCCTGTTGACTACCTCCAACTACCATCTAAAATATCAATAGAACTATTCTACTAGATTGGTACAGTTCAAATGTTTATTAGATGAATTATAAGTTACTATCTAGTCAACTTATGAATGACTTATATGATTCAATAGCGGTTCAATAAGTGGTTATTGGAGCATATGCATCAAACACAGTGAATTTTCCGTTCAATTATTAGTAATATAGATGATATGATCAGTTATTTTATGTCGTTTACGATGGTGTGAAGTTAGTGATTTGCAAATGAAGATGATCTCATTTATAAGTTTAAACTAATATAACCATCAAAACATCAATGTTCTGGATGGGAGCTTATGTAGCAAGCCCATTCAACTATTGTATTATTTGTCTACTCACGTAATTCAAACACTTAGTTCACCATGTTATTTTCTGTGTGTGTATGATTAAGCGCGTGTGTCTGCACATCAATCCTTAATCTATTCTCCTATTGGTTGTAACATACAGATAATCAATAATTTATCCACACTTGATTGACACTCAAATATATATATATGGATTTTTAACTCGCATACATACACACACACTCTCGTGGATTCACAGTGTGCTTGCTCTCTGTACCCTTGTGGATTTTATTTATCTTGAACAATAAAAATATCTCTACAATTGGTGTTCAGGCTTCTGAATAATCTCGAATAAATCCTTAATCCTACTGAGAGATTTAGCCTACCTAAAATACTCAGTTAACGGGATATCATTTATTGGAGTCAGATATAGAGGAAACTAACCTCAACATTTGGTGAACCGCTTTTAGAACACGCACCATTTCTCTACAATGTCTGCTGCATACTCTCCAAGCGTGTCATAAAGAAGTTCACATTGGAATTACTATTACAATTAATATCAATTCATTGATAGTCATAATAAAGCCACCCATAACATTGTTCCTTTGGAATTATTGCTGTATATTCGCAAATTTAAACCCAAGGTGACAGGTTTTCTTTTCGGTGAGTCTTATACATTTGTTTTTGTTATTTTTGATTTCTTCATATCGTCAGTTTATTATTACTATTGCTTCTTCGTATCATGGCACTTGATAATTCGCTAAGCCTTTCATCTAGATCTATGTCCGTGGCTGCCATCTCTGTACCTTTACCTGTCTTTAATCCGCGAAAGGCCGAACTCTGGTTTGCACGCTTATAAAGCTTTTTTGTTGCAAGCAGAATCACAAATCAGAGCACAGAATTCGGTTACGTAAACTCATTGCTACCGGACGACGTTATTGAGCAAGTGCGTGACATGATTTTTAAGCCGGATCCCGACTCACCATACGATTGTCTAAAAAGAGAGGTCATTCGTGTTACATCTCTCACCGACCAGCAGACAATTGATTGCGGATGCGCACTGCTGAGGGGTCCCATACTAGGACGAAACGGCCGTCCAGTGCTTCCAGGTTTTCCATGGTGGTCTAGTTTCAATGAACTCATGATTTCAACCTGTGAAATTTCTAAAACTCCACAAAACCCATTCTGATAATTTATCCATACTTGATTGACACTCAAATATATATATATGGATTTTTAACTCGCATACATACATACACACACACTCTCGTGGATTCACAGTGTGCTTGCTCTCTGTACCCTTGTGGATTTTATTTATCTTGAACAATAAAAATATCTCTACAATTGGTGTTCAGGCTTCTGAATAATCTCGAATAAATCCATAATCCTACTGAGAGATTTAGCCTACCTAAAATACTCAGTTAACGGGATATCATTTATTGGAGTCAGATATAGAGGAAACTAGCCTCAACAAACATTTAACTGCTCAAGTCAGAGATACCAAGCTATTGGATCAGTAACAGACACCAAATAGACCCAATTAGAATCAGGATTCTGTTTAGTAGCTTTTAATGTGATTCTGACCGCCAGTCTGAGAACACAACAGTCTTGAATGACTTATTCATATTGTATTTTCTTGAGTTTCCTTTCCCTACATTTCGTATCATGGTGAACATTCTGAAGTACTACTGTAGTGAGCTGGAACACGAGCGAGGACAACCAAATATATTTCAATACAAAATTACAGAATCTCTTAGCAAAATCTGAGGACCATACAGTACATTGTTCATCTGCAAAATACCCATCAATTGTCTCAGACTTGATTGTTTCTTTGTCTCCACACCAAACACGTCATATTCTCTTACTCTTCTCTTCGATCTTATTAACCTTCTACTGCCAGACACTCCACTTTCGAGTGACGATACATACTACTTATATCTGTCGACATCTGTAGCACACATCACACTACAACTTGTAAACATGCATTTTGTATCCAATGTCTTGCATTATAATTATCTAATCATCTTAAAAAATATGCATAAATGATATGACAGGCCATTGGAACCTTAAATGTTATGTATAACAGTTTAACTATAGATGATTCTTACACAATTTTTAATGTAGAGTAAAGTGAATGCTTAAATCTCAGTTCTTCTCAATCATTTATCAACTTCAGATAGACAATAATGATGAAATTGAATACTCGGTGAAAGAAAATACTTTTTACTTCGAATTAACATAATATTTACGAAGCTCTGATCAGACTGCAAGGTGAATGGTGGGGATTATTCAAATTTCAACTTTTTGAATGATACAAACATAAGTTTACATTTACCATCACTATTCCTCTGATTTTGAAAGCCATGTATGATATTGTACTCTACAAGCTTCAATAAGCTTTTCCCACCTTAGTCATCCATTTTCTTACTTACTATTAATTCTTGCTAAATAGATAGACTTAAACGAATGTATATTTATGCATCTCAGAACGTGACTGGAAATGGATAGGACATACACTACGCAAATCGTCAAACTGTATCACAAGGCAAACCCCAACTTTGAATCCTGAAGCAAGGCGGGAAAGAGGAAGGCCAAAGAACACATTAGATCGAGAACTAAAAGCAGATATGGAAAGGATGAATAACAACTGGAAGGAGCTGGAAAGGATTACCCAGGACACGGTTGGATGGAGAATGCTGGTGAGCGGCCTATGCTCCTTCACGAAGAGTAACAGGCGTAAGGAAGTAAGTAATTCAGAACGTGACATTTACCATTTATTTTATTATTTTGTTGTAAAAAGGTACATGTTACTTATTACCGTTGAGTAGTACGTTTGTTTAAAAAATTAATGGAGAACGATTATTAAGATGTAAACATTTCCCAGAATATATTCAGTATGTAAATATCTTCAGTAGTCTAGAAAAATGATAATTTTCATAGTATTCACTAACTCGGATAAGATTCACTACATGTGAACATCTGAAATACAGTTATTTGATATTTATCTCAATTTATTACATCATATATTTCCAGATTAATATTGGCAATAAGACAAGAAACATTTAAGAGGACACATGTGTACAATAACTTCATCATTAGGCTCTATAGTTATGAATCCATTAACAATTTTTATCTAATAAAGCTTGATTAAATGAAGATCCTTGAGTAATGTGAATGAATTACCTATTTCAAATTGATACTAGCCAGCCATGTCATGAAACTCCGCCTGGACTCCCTCAGGGGCCACTGCCGGTCAAGAGCCCAGATAAAGGAGGAGGGTTGGGCATGGGGTTAGCGTCCCTATCTCGTAGAAAACTAACTCGCTAAAAAAACTCCAACCAGAAAAAATTACTCAAACTTTTTAAACTCTGCGCTGGGAGTCAGAAGGTCTTCATTTAGAAGAGTTATGACGCCTCATGGTGAACGCCGAGTTCCTTCGGAAATCACGAGGCCGATGCCCCTTCTGACAATCAGAGCAACCATTTACTTAGGTAAATAGAATGCTCGTACAATGTGGGACACCGGAAGAGCCTTCCAAATTGCTGCAGAAATGAAAAGATACAACCTAGAGGTGCTTGGGATCAGTGAAAATAATTGGACTCAATTAGAGCAAGAACAAAGATTGGTGCAGAATAATATGAATTCATTTTATTTCGTTAGGTTCTCATCAGCTGCTTACAACCTAAATTATTTGAAAATTCAAATTATTACAGATATTGACATATTTATATATAAGAGTGTGATTAAGGATCAATACATGTGTATGATGATGTAGCAAGCAAAGATTCAGATAGAGTTAATGAGCTCATAAAATAGTTGATTGGAATAAATAAATAAAGTTAGAAAGGGAAAGTTCTGGAACATTGAAATAGTGATTAGAACTCATGAAAATAGATTAATGGTAATAAAGAAAATATGAATTGAAATCAATCAGTTATGTATGATGTAATTTATATTTCAGAAAGAGTTGCAATAATGACGTAATAAATAAATAAATAAATAAATAAATAAATAAATAAATAAATAAATAAATAAATAAATAAATAAATAAATAGGAGCAAATTAATAGAAAGAGTGGGGGTTATTGTTACCAGGGTAAAGAAAGATTTATTACTGTTTCTTTTTGTATACATAGATCTGGTTTTAAACGTTTGATTGCTAACGCTTCAGCGAATTTCAAAAGGTTCGAGTTTGATTGTTTGTTAATCACCTTGAAGGACTTCAGTATATCAGCTTTATGTCCTGTATCAAGGAGATGTCTTGCGATAGCACTGTTGAATGAGTTCAATCCATTTAATCTTAAACTTTTCGGAATATGTTCTTTGAATCGGACGTAGGCTCTCCTTTCTGTTCTACCAATGTAACTGCTTTGGCAGGTACATGTAAATTTGTATACACAGTTGGTGGTAACATGAAAGGGATACCTGTCGACCTTTGATTGTGTCAAAGAACATGTTGTTTTGGACAGGACAATCAATTTCGCTGCAGGATAGGTTCTTGTCAGTGCAGTTTTTAGTCTCATATTGATTGAACCTGTGACATCGTCACCTTTGAATTGAAGTTTAATAAAAATAGGCTTTTTATTTGCTGTAATTTCTTTCGGTTTTTTATCTTCACATTTGCCGTATTTCTCAATAAATTTCAGTGGGTATCCGTTATTCTTCAAACATTTTTTAACATTCATAACTTCCTCTTCTAGTGTATCGGAAGTACATATTCTTTCTGTTCTGTAAAACAGTGTTTTGACCAGTGCCTTTTTGTAACTGATTGGACAAAAGCTATTGAAATTAAGATAACTACCATTCCATGTGTCTTTCTTATAAACTGAACGTTGAACTGTACCATCTTTTCTTCTTTTCATCGCGATATCGAGAAAATGGAACTTGTTTTCTTTTTCATGTTCCATAGTGAAATGGATATTCGGATGTGCTTCGTTGAAAAACTAGCAGATTTATTGCATGTTGTTTATTATTACATACGATGAAGGTATCATCAACATACCTCGAATAATACGTCATTTCATCAATCGCTCGTTTGAGTTTGGTTCTTTCGAGGTTAGCCATGAAAATATCTGCTAGGACAGGACCTAACGGACTTCCCATCGCTACACCATCGGTTTGTTTGTATATGATATCGTTGAACTGGAACTGAACATCTTTTGTACAAATGAGTAATAGTCGTTTGAATTCTGGTACTGGTAGAGGTAGGATGTCAGAATGTTGACAAATTATGTCTATGGTCTCAAGAAGTGGTATTTTTGTAAACAAAGATGTTACATCAAAAGAAACCATAAACTTACCAGCAATATTTATGTGATTCATGCTGTCAGCAAATACAAATGAATCCTTTAGTGTATAGGTGGCTAATCGTTGACGCACTGGTTCTAACTTATCTGCCAACCATCGTGCAACTTTGTGGTATGGTGAATTGATCATTGACAAGATAGGTCTAAGAGGATAACCTTGTTTATGTATTTTCGGTAATCCATACATGTGGGGCAAACGAGACCCACGAGGTCGTAGATTATTGTAAGTAGAATTATCGATCATCTTCTTTTTCAGAAGATCTCTGAGTACTTTGGTGATTCTTTTCTCAATGGAATCAGTTAAGTCTTTGTTACTTTTCTCTAACTTGAATCTCATATGGTCATTCAAGATGGACTTCATCTTAAAAACATAATCTGTTTTGTTCATTAGAACAAAGGTCGACAGGTATCCCTTTCATGTTACCACCAACTGTGTATACAAATTTACATGTACCTGCCAAAGCAGTTACATTGGTAGAACAGAAAGGAGAGCCTACGTCCGATTCAAAGAACATATTCCGAAAAGTTTAAGATTAAATGGATTGAACTCATTCAACAGTGCTATCGCAAGACATCTCCTTGATACAGGACATAAAGCTGATATACTGAAGTCCTTCAAGGTGATTAACAAACAATCAAACTCGAACCTTTTGAAATTCGCTGAAGCGTTAGCAATCAAACGTTTAAAACCAGATCTATGTATACAAAAAGAGACAATAATAAATCTTTCTTTACCCTAGTAACAATAACCACCCATTTTTATTTATTTATTTCTGTATTTATTTATTGAGTCATTACTCCAACTCTTTTAAATTACATCATACATAACTGACTGATTTCAATTCATATTTTCTTTATTACCATTAATCTATTTTCATGAGTTCTAATCACTATTTCAATGTTCCAGAACTTTCCCTTTCTAACTTTATTTATTTATTCCAATCAACTATTTTATGAGCTCATTAACTCTATCTGAATCTTTGCTTGCTACATCATCATACACATGTATTGATCCTTAATCACACTCTTATATATAAATATGTCAATATCTGTAATAATTTGAATTTTCAAATAATTTAGGTTGTAAGCAGCTGATGAGAACCTAACGAAATAAAATGAATTCATATTATTCTGCACCAATCTTTGTTCTTGCTCTATTTAAGATAATAAAGGGAACTATGTGTATGAAATTGGACTCACGTTGGACAACAACGACTAGCTTCAGGGGAGCTTCTGTTATACTCCGGCCATGAAGAAGAAAATGCACCACATACACAAGGAGTTGAATTGATGCTGTCCAAACAAGCACAAAATGCACTTGTAGGATGGGAATCTTATGAACCAAGAACCATCAAAGCCTCCTTCAAAACAAAGATAGAGAGCATTTCAATGAACATCATCCAAATCTATGCGCCTGCCAACGACTACAATGAAGACGCTAAAGATCAATTCTACAATAGACTGCAGTCAATCATCGAGAAGTGCCCAACAAAGGATCTGACCATTCTGATAGGAGATTTAAATGCTAAGATTGGAATGGACAATACTGGATATGAAAACATCGTGGGACGACACGGACTGGTAGAAAGAAACGAAAATGGTGAGAGATTTGCAAACCTATGTGCCTTCAATAAACTCGTCATAGGCGGCACCATATTCCCACATAAACGCATACACAAAACCACATGGACTTCACCGGATCACACTATGCAGAACCATATCGACCATATCTGTATCAAAGAAACGTTCAGGAGGACGTGAGAACCAAGAGCGGAGCTGATATAGCATCGGATCATCACCTGCTGGCCGCCAGGATAAAATTGAAACTCAAGAAACACTGGACAACGGGCCGGACAATATCACAAAAGTTCAATACGGCTTTTCTTCAGGATACTGACAAACTCAACAAATTCAAGGTAGACCTCAGCAACAAGTTGCAGGCCTTTCATGATCTACTCAATGGAGAAGGAACTACTATGGAGGAGACCGACTGGAAAGGGATCAAAGAGGTAATCACTTCAATATATCATGAGGTTCTGAGCCACATAAAGCACCATCACAAGGAATGGATCACTGTTGATACACTGGATACGATTCAAGAAAGGAGGAACAAGAAGGCAGCAATCAAACCAGCTGAACAAGAGCTGAAAAAGACAAGCACGTGAAGAGGAGCATCAGAACTGACAAACGTAAATATGTGGAAGATTTAGCAATGACGGCGGAAAAGGCTGCAAGAGAAGGAAACATGAGAGAACTGTATGACATAACAAAGAAACTCTCTGGAAATCACCGTAAGCCAGAACGACCAGTGAAAAGCGAGGAAGGCAGAGTAATCACCAACATTGGTGAACGACGAAACAGATGGGTAGAACACTTCATAGAACTCTTGAAGTGACCAGCTCCACTGAACCCACCCAACATTAAAGCAGCACCCTCGGACCTCCCAATCGATGTTGGCCCACCAACAATTGAAGAGATCAGTATGGGACCAGACAAATCAAGAGTGGCAAAGCATCAGCAGAGACACTGAAAGCAGACATAGCGGTAACTGCAAGGATACCCCACATTCTCTTCAATAAGATTTGGGATGAGGAACAAGTACCAACATATTGGGAAGAAGGACTTCTGATCAAAATACCGAGGAAAGGCGATCTCAGCAACTGTGATAACTACAGGGACATCACTCTTCTCTCAATACCGGGAAAAATCTTCAACAAGGTATTGTTAGACAGAATGAAGGACTGCATAGACACCCAACTTCGAGACCAACAGGCAGGATTCCGTAAGGATAGATCGTGTACAGACCAAATCGCAACTCTACGGATCATTGTGGAACAATCAGTTGAATGGAATTCATCACTTTACATCAGCTTCATTGACTACGAAAAGGCATTTGATAGCGTGGACAGAACAACACTATGGCAGCTTCTTCGACACTACAGCGTGCCTCAGAAGATAGTCAATATCATAGAGAATTCCTATGATGGATTAAACTGCAAAATCGTGCATGGAGGAGAGTTGAGAAAGTTGTTCGAAGTAAAGACCGGTGTTAGGCAAGGTTGCTTACTCTCACCCTATCTCTAACTCCTGGTGATCGACTGGATCATGAAGACGTCAACATCTGAAGAGAAGCACAGGATACAGTGGACATCAAGGATGCAGTTGGACGATCTAGACTTCGCAGATGATCTGGCCCTCCTTTCGCAAACGCAACAACGGATGCAGGAGAAGACGAACTGTGTGGCAGCAGCCTCAGCAGCAGCAGGTCTCAATATACACAAAGGGAAAAGCAGGATTCTCCGATACAACACAGCATGTACCAATCCAATCACAATTGACGGAGAAGATGTGGAAGATGTAAAAGCCTTTACATATTTGGGCAGCATCATTGATAAACAGGGTGGATCTGATGCAGATGTGAAGGCGCGGATCGGCAAAGCAAGAGTAGCATATTTACAACTGAATGACGTCTAGAACTCGAAGCAAATGTCAACCAACACCAAGGTCAGGATTTTCAATACAAATGTCAAGACAGTTCTGCTGTATGGGGCGGAAACCTGGATAACTACGAAAACCATCATCCAGAAAATACAGGTGTTTATTGACAGTTGTCTACGCAAAATAATTCGGATCCGTTGACCAGACACTATCAGCAACAACCTACTGTGTGAGAGAACAAAACAGATCTCAGAGGAGGAAGAAATCAGGAAGAAGCACTGGAAGTGGATAGAACACACATTGAGGAAAGCACCAAACTGTGTTACAGCGCAAGACCTCACATGGAATCCTCAAGGCCAAAGGAGAAGAGTAAGACCAAAGAACACATTGCACCGAGAAATGGAGACAGATATGGTAAGAATGAACAAGAATTGGATAGGACTAGAAAGGAAGGCCCAGTACAGTGTGGGTTGGATAATACTGGTTGACGGCCTATCCTCCATTTGGAGTAACAGGCGTAAGTAATTATGTAAGTCATGTCATGAATAAATAATAATAGGGTTTTCAATTGTTATTCTGAGCTTAAGACTACCAAGTCATTATAAAACTTTTGGATCCCCAACAGATTTTGTGAAATGATTTGGGGCTAAAATGTATAATATTGTTCAAATGTTTTGTGAATTTGATGGGAACCACTAGTTTAGTAAGTATGTATTTCTGCTAAATTATTGGTATTGTAGTAGAATCATTTTCGTTTGGTATTGTACTTTGAATTTACGAACCTGAGAAATAGTTTTCAACTTTTAAAATTTAGGGAGAATAGTTATGGTTAGCGCGTTTTTTATCATGATTCTTTCTTACGGTGTTGAACTATTAACTCTATGCACAACTCTCTTCCATTAGTCAGGTTTAAGACCAAGAGTGACTCTAGAAGTTCTCAAGGTGGGGTTCAGTGGTATAGTATTCTTGGAAAGTTTTATTATTGAAGAGGTGAAGTCGATTTTAGAGGAATTTTACTGGTGATTATTAAATAGTTTAACAATGCCTCGTGAAGATTTGAAGTCATGTCAAATACTGTGAAGCTGGATCACGGTAGTTCGAATCATATAGGAACCATCAGTTCTCTCAAAACTACAAATAAGTATTACATTAGACTACATATTTAGCTTAGATATTTGAATAGCATCATTTTCACTTGAAAATATAATTGCCTTATCACTTATAAACGTTATATTTTGTAAAATAAATAAAAGTTTTGTTACTTGACAATAGAACTATAAACCATGTCATATACATACTCATCTTCATGCCATTGATTAAATTTAGAAATTATGGTCCAAATCACAAATGAGCTAGCAAACCTCGTTAATCATTGATAAACTTATTATTCACTAGATAGACTTTTAAACTTTCATAAACCTATTGGAATAGTCCAAAAGTTACAATACCGAACGATACTAACACAAAAATGCGTTAAAATATTTGTTTTGTTTTGTTTTGACTATGAAAATCTTCTGACACTATGAAGGTCGTTTGATATTTATGTGGTTAGTTTAACCAATCCTCCTACAGTTACATGTTCATCTTAACCAACTAATTCAATATATTAGTGACCTTAACAAAAATAATCAATCTATGGTCTGTTGAATTGAGTCAGCTTGACAAATGGATTTGGATGCTTTTAATCGCTCTGAGTGGAACGATTCTCAATATCGTCATACAAAACATCCGACAATGACTTCAAAGGGATGTCCAGAAATACCATCTCTTAATTCATCATCAGGCAGCTCAATGGATTTAGGCACAGATGGATGTACAGAAGAAAATATGGGATCTAAAATGAGTGAGTATCCTGGACAATCAGAAACAAATTTTAATCAGATACCGGTCAGTGCACAAGATAGTTTCTCCGACCACAGTCTGAATAATTCAGCTGGTCCATTTTCAAGCCAACAAGGTTATACAAATCATTCTTATGGCAATAATCCATCTGCTACATCATATCTACCAGGCACAACCTCATTCAATATCGATTATGCACGTCAAATGCAAAGTCCTTATATTTCTGGAAATCCCAATTCACAAAATCTCCAAACAAATTATTGCCCAACTATACCACCATCAGGTGGAAGTTCATTTGGTAGCAACCCAGTGAACACGAATCAAGGATGTGTATACCCGATGTTTAACGATTTCCCTACTCCGATTTCATCTCAGTCGAATGAGTTTTCTGTCTCCTCCAGAGTTTATGGGTTCGCTGAATCAGCTCCACACGAAGATATAGTATGTTTGCCATTATTAATATTGTTATTGTTATTAGTTGAATAATTAGTTTCGTTCGAACAGCTCTCAAGTCATTTTCATTGACTGTTCAATGAATTAACTGTGCACATACATTTTGAGTCACAATCCCAATTTATTTTACTTATGTGGTTTATAGGTTACAAATATTTCCACTACTTTCCTCTTCATGACTTCATAGCCTATCGATTTGTGAACGTTGATAGATTTCATGAATTTCATGGCCTTCTTTCCCGTATCTTTTAATTTGTTGAGATTTTATTTAAGTGAGTGGATTGATCGAGTGAGCGATTGGTCGGCCTAGATAATCTGAAAATACGAACATCATTGTGGGAGATATTTTTAAGAACAGACATAATGTACAACACAAAGCTCCCATAATACCTGAACATATTTCCAGTCGATTTTTCATTTCTTACTTGATGTAGTTTGAAGAATTCGGCGTGTTTTTTTTCTTCAATTAAAGCAGTAAATTATCATAACTCAGACAAATGTTGGTAGGTATTTCAGTCTGTTTATTAATTTTGTATAAATTCTTCAATATTGGCATGTCGTTGCAAACATACTAGACTGCTGTTGAGTAATGCTGAATTGTCAGATAGTCGTCACATGTGTTTACAGAGTAGTTTCGGATTTATTTTTATCACATAATGCGATATTAATCACAGCTGTTCTAATGTGATAGATAATTAGAAGCATCTGAATTGATTTGCTAACTAGGAATTCGCGAAATAGTGCAATTTAAGACAGGTGGAACCAAATGATCATAACTGGATGTATTACATTAGTAATTCGCATTGAGCGCACAATCAAGTACAAATGAATCATTGGTTAGTACAAACACCAATCCTAATTATGATCAGTCGACTGAGGTCACCTGAATTATCTAGATTGGATATTGTAGGCTATCGAAATTATCACTAATTTATATTGATGGGTTATTTATTGTGAATGTGAGGAAGATTGTTTGTATTATATGATTGTTAAAAGTTTACCTCAACTGTTATGTAGTTGTGTAGTTGTTAACATGGAAGTAACATTAAAAGACACATTTCTTCATACTATCTATCCATCTCGTCACTTTTTCTGTATTTTAAAATTATTACCATTTGCACATCTTAGAATTGAGAGAAGGTCTGTAGCAGATTATTATTATGTTAACAGGAGTTTTTGAGATGATTATTTTATTCAGTTCCACTTGACTAGTGTGTTCAATTTGAGTATATACTCACATGTGTATACTGTACATGTGAGGAACAAAAGCAAAAGCAAACGATTCTAAATCCTAAGATCGTTTGAGTATATTGAACATGGTCCATTCACTGACAAATCTTGTAAAATCCAAGGTTAAAAAAAAATTAGATTATCATATCCATATGCTATTGTTGTCATTGCGTCTACTTTATATTTATTTCATTGAAATATGTTGGTCATTAACTCAAGTGAGTGACAAATATTAAATAAACGATACATGCAAATGTAAAGAATTTTAGTGAAACGAATCGATACTCTTTAGGTTGTATTCATCAAAGTTGATCTCGGTTGGGATACCACTGAAAAAAGAGCATCCTAAATTGGGATTCCTCAACAGTACGAACCTTCTGTTCTCCAGGTTTTCAATGGTAGCTCGACGAATACAAATTATAAATTAAACCACAAAACCATTTTCCTTGAAAAAGATTGGACCAGATTGCCAGGCGAAACGTTGGATTTAATTCAAATTCTTCCGCTGAGATTTTACAAATATATATTATTCTTCTTTAATGACTCACATTAACTCGGCGCCCAAATATTGTGAAACTATTCGTTCAAATTTAGACGAAAGTTCTTATTTATTGTTCTGCCTTTTAACTAGATTCTACAATTTACTTACTTGTAAATATCCATTATTCTAATGTTAGATGAAACCAACATTAACACCTAAAGGAAATTCCTGTGTTGAACATGATTGTGAACGTTTGCACAGTGCTCTGGATAGATTAAAGATAAGAGAAAAAGAAATCGTTGAAGTAATGGGTCGTCGACCTGTTGTTCAACGTATAGCAATTCTACAAAAATATAAATCTCTATATAAGGACAATTTGTTCGCCATATTTAATTCTAAATTAACTGGATATTTAAAAGATTGTTTGATTGCGTTGTGCTATGCACCAGCAGAATTTGATGCAATAGAACTTCATAGAGCAATGAGAGGAACTGATACTGATGAAGATACAATAATTGAAATTCTTTGTACAAGAACAAATGAACAAATCAAAAGAATTAAGGATGTTTATCCAAAATGTAAGTTATTAGTTTATAAAATGATCAAATATAATTTGTATTTATTCTGCAAATTAAGATTGTCATGAATTACTGAATATGGTGAGTAATTATGAGGAAGATTCGCTTTGATTCATTTCAACTGTTTGAAATTTGTAAGAATTTCAAGATAAACTGTTATGCCGTGCGCATCTACGATCCTGCCTCGGGAGACTCGAACTCACGACTTATCAGTATCGCGCACGAACTCCTAACCTCAAGACCGCTGAGCTGGCTGGGGTTCAACGATGTTAATGTCTAACTTCAACTCATCCAGAAAATTGATCGACACGGCTGTGCAGTGCTTACAGGTTTTCCATGGTGGTCTAGCTTCAATTGACTCATGATCTCAACTATTAAAATTACTATAATATTCACAACAATCCTTCTGATATAAATAAATAAATAAATGTTTATTCATTAAAATTTCAGTATTCGATGGATGTGATTTGGTGAATGATGTAAACAAACAGATTACACATCAATTCAAACATATATTCATGAGTCTATTAAAGGCGGATAGAGATGAATTTACATTTGTAGATAGAAATCTTGTACAAAGAGATGTGGAAGAATTATTTAATATAATACAACAAAACATTAGAATAGATGAATCAAAGTAAGTGTATTGTTTATTCAACATATCCTAGTTGGTTTATGAAAATCTTACATAGCTGTTAATTAATTTATTGGATTTTGACTTGAAAACTCAATATTTACAGTTTTATAAGAGATTATATATTGAGAGAGGATTCAACTATGAAGTACTAATTTGCCATTGGACTATGTATTTGACTATAAATGCTTCATTCACTGAATGATGCTAATGGTAGGTAAAGAGTTTCAATGAAAGATGATAAGCTGATTAATGAGGTTGTGAACATGCATTGATTGACATATTTGGAACTTGTGTTACACATGATCCAACTATAAAATAAACAGATCTTTAAATTGGCATAGTGATAGTTTGAAGAGGAAGATTAATAGAGCTCAAATGTAATCATCATGATGTGATTTAAAGTTATTAATAATCGTGCAAATAGAAACATTATCTCTCTTCTTACAAATGGTATCAATGATTTGGTTTTCTCTAACTATTCCAATATGAAACTCCTCCTGGAGCGGATCGGCAAAGCAAGAGCAACATATTTACAACTGAATGACGTCTAGAACTCAAAGCAAATGTCAACCAACACCAAGGTCAGGATTTTCAATACAAATGTCAAGACAGTTCTGCTGTATGGGGCGGAAACCTGGATAACTACGAAAGCCATCATCCAGAAAATACAGGTGTTTATTGACAGTTGTCTACGCAAAATCATTCGGATCCGTTGGCCAGACACTATCAGCAACAACCTACTGTGTGAGAGAACAAAACAGATCTCAGAGGAGGAAGAAATCAGGAAGAAGCACTGGAAGTGGATAGAACACACATTGAGGAAAGCACCATACTGCGTCACAACGCAAGATCTTACATTTAATCCTCTGAGCTAAAGGAGAAGAGGAAGACCAAAGAACACATTGCACCGAGAAATGGAGACAGATATGGTAAGAATGAACAAGAATTGGATAGGACTAGAAAGGAAGGCCCAGTACAGTGTGGGTTGTAGAATGCTGGTTGATGGCATATGCTCCATTTGGAGTAACAGGCGTAAGTAGGTAAGCAAGTATTCCAGCATGAAATGGAACAATTTAGATCTGTACGTAATCAAGCCAAGTTTTTATATTGTTTATATTTATGTTAAATCATATAATGTACTCTCCTAACAAAAAAGGCCTCTAGTCACCTAACTCTGAAAATAACTTACCCTTATTGTTACGATGTCTTACTAAACATCTTCACTAATAATATCTCTTATGCTGAGTACGTTAAGATGACAACAATTAAGTAAGATATGTTTAAATTTACACAATGAAGTCACTGAAAAATATAAATTTTATTACAGAATCCATCCTTGTATTCGAAATTGTCACAATTGTAAATCGAATTCTGTTTTAAGTGACCATGACGTTGTTTAATTAAAAACGTTTCAAACCATTATCACTGTCGAATACTATCTGTGATTATAGAGTAATTGGTGTGAATTTGAACAAAATGATTGAATATTGGAGAACAGACTTCATGAATGATTGAAATGTGTTTGATTGAATCAAAACCATCTGAAATAGCAGGTAGAAGGTTAGAACTCAGTACCATAAAGTGTAATATAGGTTGGTCATATTACATACTTTTTATCAACATATCTGTCCCATTATCTGAAAATGCCATCTGTTAAAAATTATCTGACTAAATGAATGCAATGGTCCAACAAATAAGAATCAGTTTGATGCAACATACAGCGCAGTCTTTCAGCAAACTGTTAAACATAATCCTTCTTTTTTCTTTCAACATACCTGTACATATTAGATTCATTCTTATATTGGCTTCAAGATCTTATGCTCACTTACGAGTTGTATTCAATGAATATATACGAATTGGTAAGCATACTATGGAAGATACTTTAAAGCTCAGAATGCGTGGAAATACACTCAGTACTCTACTTTCTATAGGTAAGTAATGTTAAACATTTCTTTTCGAGAAATTGCGTGTCCGATTAATAATTATGACTTGAGTTAATCTAATTTGGGATTAGTTAATGCATTATCTAATCACTTGGGAATTAAATGGCAGTTGTATTCCAATTAATATCTGATTTGTAGTGAACAACTATAATCCCTGTATTGATTGGTCAGAGTTTGCTGTCCAGTGTCATGTTAGTTTGGTCGTTACTGTCGCCCAAGTTCTATCGGTTGAGAAATTTTATTATTCGTATTAGTTTAAGTAACTCAAATAGTGTATGCACTGCGTTTCGATGTAGTTTGTTTAGAAGTAGTCATTGTGGAACCTTGGGACTAGGTTTCGTGCTAGTTGATACTCACTCATCAGCAAGGCTAGCAATCAACAATAAGAGCTGGATAAAATGATACTGTTGATCATTCAGTTATTAATTGGTGTGATTATATTAGCTGCAACCCAAATAACTCGTTGGTAACGCCTCAGAGACGGGTTCGAATCCTCCATGGTTTGAGGTCCCCTCGAGATTTCAGGTATGCCTTCCAAACAAACTGTGGTAACAATGAAATCTAGATCCAGATTACTTAGTAGACTATCCCCGACTATCTTATCACTCTATTTAATTTGTCTATTCATAGCATCATAACTAGGTAATTGACTTATTTTAGTGGAGTCACCAAGTTCCTGTCCTACAATGAGGATACTCTCCAGAACATAAATCTTTACTTTACTTTGTTATACACTACAATAACGTTTGAATATGTTTGTATAATGTTTATATAAATTCAAATTCAAATGAGTAAATAGTTGAATGATTCACGCTTATTGACTGAAAAACAGAATTTGTGATGCGATAGGATTAATTAATTGATGTAGTAACTTGAATTGAGATTTGCTGTGTTTAGACACTTACATTATCGATCAGTAAACTATTATTTATTTATTTATTTAAACACATAAACATTGTTATAAGGAAGCACCACCAAATGAAGATGTGCTACATAAATCATTCGATTTGTGCAAGGGCTGGGATACTGCCCGGGTGCCCAAACCGCAGGGGCCACATCCCGAGACTTTGACCTGAAGGTCTAATCCACAAGACAGTGGAGCAACGTATGGAGATGCAGTCCTATGGCAGACGGTGACCAACGATATCTTCATACGCCATTTTTCCCTTCAGGATCTTGGAGCCCATGTGCACAATTGGTTTGGAATCATGGTTTTTCAACTCCCCTAGGTAAACTCTCCGTGTTCACCAACCCGGTCGAAGGGCCCAACATTCACTTTTCGTTCCATCAATTTCGTTAACAGCATCCCCGTCGCGAGAAGGCACTGTGTATATGAGCTATATATGTATATATATTAATAATAATAATGATCATTAAATTTTCTCTATTTTATTTATTTCACTCACATTCATTGAATTGGATTTCAGTTCGTTGTATACAAAATAAACCACGATATTTTGCAGAAAAATTATTAAAAGCCATGCAATGTGCTGAAACAGCTGATCAAGCACTTATACGTATCATTGTCAGTCGCTGTGAAATTGATTTGAAAAATATCATGAATGACTTTCATAAAATAAAAGGAAAAAGTTTGCATGAATGCATAGATGTAAGTGTGAATAATATTTATTGGATGATAATTTATTCTAATTTATGTCACTTTATTGCATGTTCAACATTGATATGTTTCATTTAAATGACGAATGGACTGAAATAAGGCAACTCTTGGAAAACTAAGATCAATAGATGATCATTCTGTCCAATTATGTGACTGACTCCTCATCGGTATGAATCCGAGAGTCGGTAATCGAATACAGATATTTCGATATCACGCATAAACCTTTAAAATCTAGACGTATGTGACCGGATCCGAGGGAATACAAGTCTCATTTAAATCAATCTACAAACTTTTAAGGAAATCTTCAACTGCCTTCCATGAGTACCAACAACAAAACATAAACAAATAAAACTCAATAATTAGGCATTCTCATTGAACAGTTCCATGGTTCGACGAAATAACAGTCCAGTGCTGTCAAATACTCATTAGTTGTCTGAATTGTATCAATTCGTGATTTTGATCGAGTTCAACTATCTTCACAAGCCAAATATAATGAATGATTTACATTCCACGGTAAACTTATTTGCTTTATATTGAAAATTATTTTTCTGTGTTAATCTATAACCCATGGAAATCTATGTGAACAATAATGCTGAATATTACTGAGTATTAGTGCTTCAATCAAATGATTCTCGAAAGCCGTCTACGTTTATGTCTAAAGATGCATACATCACATTTGCAGTCTCACAGTCTATTGTTTCACCAAATTTCAAAATATTTCCGAAAACAATGACAATTCTCACTTAGTCGAGGTTTTCTTAAAACAAGTTGTGTCAAGCGTTTTACTATGGTAAATACATTTAATCAGTGTTAAATAGAAATTGATTAGCTTGATCAGGGTGTGTTGAATCAGTAGCCATGACTGAACCAATCAGCGTTAACAGGATGAACTTTTTTTCAAAGTTCAGGTGTTCGTCAGCTAACAATTGAAACTGAAATTTCATGGTTGTGTTGCATGTTGATGAAACCTGATTATAACAACAAATTGAAGAGTTTCGACATGTTTCGAAATACAGTTCTAAGAAGACTAAACCATCCTGGATCCATGTATAGATGAGTGCGTGTTTGTCTGATTTGATGATCACATCAGATCACATAGCTATAATTAAGTGATAAGTCGTGTAGGTTGAACGCTTTATACGATTCCTAAGCTATTCCGATAACCCGCAGTCTAGAACTACACAGCGACTTGAACTCCAGAGAGAAGACACAAGAATGAGAGAAAGCACTTTATTCCAAGGTTCATCTTTGTACAGAAAATCATGGGTATTTATAGATTTTGGCGTCTGTTAAATCAACATCATTTTACAGCTAATCCGATAACAACACATTATGCTACCGACCAATAGTAGCACGCCACGTTGGAATTCTAGAACGTTCCATCACACTCTGATTGGCCAGGACTCTTCGGCTCCTTGTGGGCCTCTGGAGGCTCCGTTGAAGTTCTCCGGAAGCCGACCCAACACCTCCCCCGAATAAGATTTCTTTCTGGGATCCACTTGTAGTTTGATAACTGGATTGCGACGGCGTCCCATTATTCTTGTCGTCTTTCTTGTCCAAGACTTCTTTTCAGTGTTCCTGGGCGTTTGTGGCATTGGTGCGTCTAAGATTAAATCTAACGGGAAAGTCGGCCGGTTACTTCGCGTCTGCACCGTTCTTTTGTCCTTAAGGATTTGATTTGTGTGACGTATACATGTCCCAAAAGCTCCTCGAACTTTGTACAGTACTCTTCCCAGTTTTTGCACTACTTCGCCCGGCTCCCATCGGTTCTTCCCGATGTAGGATTTAATGTAGACTTTGTCGCCAATACTGAAGTTCCGGATACTTGGATCGCGACTACGCTCATCCACTAGTTTGGATGGCAACATGGCATCGAAGACTGTTCGAATACGCCTTCCAAACATGGCTTCCGCGGGAGATTCGCCGTCTTGAACATTTGGGTTTGGAGTGGATCTGTATGATGTTAAAAATTTTGTGATCACCTGCTCAGTCGTCCCTTCTCCTCCCCCTTTCAGTAATGCTCGTTTAAAAGTGTCCACAAAGCGCTCTGCTTGTCCGTTTGATTGTGGATGATAGGGTGGAGAACGAAGATGATTTATTCCGTTTGTTCTACAGAAATGTTTAAACGATTCTGCGGCAAACTGAGAGCCGTTATCCGTCACTAAGGTCTCTGGCACTCCGAAACTGCTAAATAGGGTAGACAACTTGCGAATCGTTTCTGACGTTGTACAATTTGGCATGATGTATACTTCCGGCCATTTAGTGAATGCATCTACGATAATTAGAAACATTTTCCCGTGGATTGGACCGGCAAAATCTGCGTGAAGTCTTACCCAGGGTCCCGCGGGCATGGGCCAACACTGAGGTTCGCATTTCGAAGGAATTTTAGCGGCTTGAATACATGATGAACAGTCACGGCATTTATTCTCGATATCTTTGTCCATTGACGGCCAATAAGCATAGCTACGAGCCAAAGATTTCATTTTACTGATTCCAGGATGGCCACTGTGAAACTGCTTGAGAACCTTGTGACGTAATAACTTCGGAATAACAATGCGATCACCGAACATAATACACGAGTCGACAACCATTAGTGAGTCCCGTCGATGGAAATATTGCAAAATTTCCCTGTCAAGGCAATTGTCTGCCCATTCGGTCGAGAGATAGCATTTAATTGAGCTCAGTATCTTATCACTTTCAGTTATCTTCTTGATAGTTTCAAAGGTTACTGGGAGTCCATTAACTGCGTCATCCAACACGCGATGAACTTCTTCCTCGGCTTTTATATTTGCTACAAGAGTCTCCTCCGGGGTTTTCGATTGAGAGCCTATTAATCTCGACAATGCGTCAGCTTGCCCGAAAGCGGTAGTAGACTGATACTTGATCTTGAAGTCGTAACCCAGAAGTGTGGTTGCCCATCGTTGGAGTCGGTTAGCTGTATGAACAGGAATTTCTTTCTTTGACCCAAAAACTGCAAGTAGTGGCTTATGGTCTGTTATTAGGGTAAAATGTCGACCATATATCATCTTGTGGAACTTTTTCACTGCAAAGATAATCGATAGGGCTTCTTTCTCGATTTGGCTATAGTTCCTTTCAGTCGTTGTCAAAGATCTGGCAGCGTGTGAGATAGCTTTTTCAGACCCATCAGGAAAAATATGAGAGATAACTGCGCCCACACCATAGTTAGAAGCATCTGAAGCGACGACTATTGGTAGAGAAGGATCATAATGTGTCAATAAGAGATCGGAAGTTAGGAGTTGCTTGATTTTCTCAAAAGATGCTTGGCAGTCTGCAGACCAATTCCATCTTGTGTTCTTTTGTAGTAGGTTGTTTAGTGGAGCACGTAGACGATGGAGATCGGAGAGAAAGGTACCGTAATGACTGACCAATCCCAAGAATGATCGTAGGGTTGTAACGTCCCTGGGTCTAGGCATTGTTTTCACTGCTTCAATGTTCTCTGGATCTGGTCGTCTTCCGTCTTTATCTATTATGAACCCAAGGTACCGTACTTGCTGCATATAGAAGTCACACTTTTCCGCTCGGAGGCGAAAACCATAATCAGCTATGCGTTCTAGTACCTGGTCCAGTTTCTTCCGCAGGTCCATTTTATCTACTGCCGTAATTATGATGTCGTCTAGGTAAGCTGCAGCTCCTGGAATACCTTGTAACATGGTATCCATAATTTGCTGGAAAATAGAGGGCGCTGTCTTTACCCCAAAAGGTAGTCGGTTATACCGGAACAGACCTTTGTGCGTGTTGATCGTTAAGAGATCTTTGCTTTCATCAGATACAGGGATTTGTAGGTATGCGTCTGATAAGTCCAATTTTGCAAAATATCTGCCACCGTTCAGCTTAGCGAAAAGATCTTCTGGTAAGGGTAACGGATACTGGTGAGACTGTAGCGCTTCATTTAATCCCGTGGAGTAGTCTGCACATAAACGAATACTTCCATTCGACTTCTTGACCACCACTATTGGTGCAGCCCAATTCGAGAAGTTCACAGGCTCGATAACACCCATTTGCTGAAGTCGTTGTAATTCTTGATCAACTATTGGAAGAGCAGCATAGGGTACAGGTCTTTTAGGTCGAAAAACGGGAGCAGCTTCAGGTTTTAGAGTTAACAGTGCTTTAGCTTTCGTACATTCTCCCAGTCCTTCTCTAAACACGTTTTGATGTCTTTGTAGCATGGCGTTTTTCTGATTCCATTCTGGGGTGTTGTCTGTACTTACTCGTCTGCAGATACTGTTGATAGAATGATCTGCTAGTTTGTGTTTCTATAAGGTCCAACCCCATTAAGTCTAGTGCTGGCTTCTTAGTAAGATACAATGTTGCATTTGTTGTTACCGTACCTTTAGAAACAATGCATGGCACTTCTCCAACAATATTCAACTTTCCTCCAGATGCACTGTGTGCCAGCTGTGTTGTTGGGAAAACTGTGGGTCTCCCAATGTTCTTCCACGTTTCCGGGCTGATTAAAGTAATATCAGAAGCTGTGTCCAGCTGAAGGCGGGTACGGTGTTTATTAATATTCAAGGTCACATACTTTCTTTGGTGGCAACTTCGTGCTCTGTTATGTGATACCAATATCTTGTTGGTTGGAGCACTATATCTGTATTTCGTTGAGTAAGATTTCACGGAACGTTTTCTATAGTCTCTTCTCCTGCAGAAGTTTTCTTTATGCCCCTTCCGATGACATTTGCTGCAACGATGTTCTTTATATGGGCAAAACCTCTTATAGTGCCAACCTCCACATGCCCAGCATGGAGATGATGGTTTGTCGCTGTTATTTTGGAAATTATGGGTACTGGAACCTTGAGAGACTTTTCTCTTGACTGCATTGACGTTACGGAAACAGTTACCATTTTCTACCATTGAGGTATCATGCTTTAAGTTTACTAACCTTTGGCACTCAGTAGTCACTTCTTGCAGGGTCATGTTAGGGCAGTGTTCGAGTTTGCTTAGGATTCTGGTTCGGATATCGGCATCTTCAG